AAAAAAAAAAAAAAAAAAAGAAGAAGAAGCGAAAAATCGCTTCCATTGTTACGCAATGTCTTATCAGAGCATAGCAGTTTAATTATTCGACTTCCGACAGAGAAACTAATGTAAATGATTCCGGTCGAAAATACGATTGGAATAATTAAAATAAAATTATACATATCTTGAGAATCGTGAAATCAATTAAATTTAAAACCAATGTAAAAATAGGAGTTACAAAATAAACATATATTTTTGTAAAAAATTAGAGTGGATAATCAATATAATAAGTACATAAGTGCAATATATAAGGGTTAAATATTATTTCATCGGATATTGAAATTTATTGATTACAATCAATCGCGACTCGTATTAAATACTTTGTAATTTCTATATATATTTTTAAATTTGTTTCAAACTTGACCGATATAATCATGATACGCATAATCTGTGTAATGATATACGTAAAAGGTTGCTATAAATTCGAATACGCTGACGACGAAATTAAAAATATCATCGACCGACCGAATTTTTTTTTCCATGGTTAAGGACCACTTCTAAATTACTCTGTGGATGTTACGTCACTGACAAAAAAAAAAAAAAATACGACAATTTGCTCACGCGTTTTCGCAATTTTCTCTTTAAAATTAACGCGAGATAGGCATGAATGCGATGACGATCGGTCATTTTGCCGCGACCTGATTAAATTGTATATCTCTATTCAAATGGTGCTCGCATTGATCCACTTTCACTAGAAGGAGACCCGGTTCTGAACCGCAACGATTACAGATGAGCTAACCGATGTCCAGTTCTCACTGGGTAAACAAATATTTTCACTTGAACCTGTCTCTCTTTCGAGCTTGGACAGCCCGGAGAGGAATAATACCCACGAAAGCGTGTCCATTGTAATTATGCCTTGACGTCGTGGCACGACGTTCACGCTGACATCGGTGTCAAGAACTGCAAACACATTGTGCAAGAGAGTACAACGGACAATTTACGAAGCTACGTACGCCGTAAAAATCCGATTTTTACGAGGAATATCCACAGAATATCTTGCAGGAATTTTTATTGCGGTATTGTGTGAAAAGGTAGATAGATAGAGATATAAAGTATAAATGAAGTCAATGTCGTAATATAAAACTGTAATTAGTACATTACTGTCACGTTATCTAATGAACCCTTGTCACTGTGTTTAGTACTTCAGATTCATAGTTACTGGTTGTTTCTTTACATGTAGTAAAAATCACGTTTCGTTAATTTTTAGTAGAACTTCCTAGTGAAAGTCTTCCTAGTTTAAAATTAGTTGATCGTAATGTTAACTCATCAGTGGAATATTACGACCACTGCAACCCCTTTCAATTTTAAATGTCATACGTTGGTGTGATTTTTTATCATTATTTGAAAATATATGTAATTCTCTATTATCTAATTATCCTTCTAATTTTACTTATCAATTCGGTATAAATTAAATAAAAAGCAAACTAAAATTAGAAGTCTGCTTAAGAATTAAAAATAAGAATATATAACTACTATTGAATTGATTCAGATATTTTTCATGCAATACCTACACTCCCATCTGTAAACCATAAGATTCTTTTTAATTTTAAACATAAACTTAATAAAATATATCTGTAATAAAATCTTCAAGATAGTAATCTACTAAAACTTATTGTTGTTTAATTGTAGTATATATACCTGATTATATCCACTTAGTCTGAGGATATTATTTCGTAATATTATACGTAGATATATTCAATCTTGTGATTTTATTGAATCGAGAGATAGAATTCACAAATGACACGAAAGTGATTCGATTCGAACGAACAATTGACTTTCGCCGAACAGTAGGAAAGTAAGAGATGCTTATCAACGAATCGTAATTATAAAGCGATTCGCGTAATTCGTTTTTGTTATGATGTTTTCCCCACAAGCACGAGTTTGTTCGATATATTAAACGTTTAAATAATTGTTATCACGAAAAAAAGGTAACCCGATTGTTCAAATAAATGGGGAAGAATGCTTCTCTCTACAATTTTATTATTCAGTATCTCTCGAACTTGGATTTCGATTTTTTTTTCGAAATGCTGCACTTCGAAATTTTGAATCTTTGGCATACGATAATTATCTTGCATCGAAAAGGAGTATGTTACTAAAATAATAAACGAGAAAAAAGTTTCTTTTCTAAAGAAAGTATTGCATGTGTTACTTCATCTATTTTAGAAATTAAAATCCCACTCGAAGACCACAGTCTAATAGTATCTAACATTAAAAATTTCTTTAAATTTCTATTCAGAAGCTTGATGACATTACTACAGTATGGTTTTATTATTTATATATCTATCTCGAAAAAATCTACTCCACCGAGTAATTTTTAGAAATACGCAACGCAAAATATTTACTAAAAGAGTATAATATACATAAATGTTGTCAACTTTAGTGTCTCAAATTTAACACTAGATTTCACATTGCATTTTAATTATTACCTACAAGTGTTTCTTTGCAAGCCTAGTAGTTTCGAATTATTTTCTTTCATTCTAAAGACACAAAGGTACCATATTCAATAAAAAAATGATCGAGCATCTCTGTCGCATTTGCTTGATTCATAGCAGGAGGAATTCGAATTGTCTTAACGTAAGTCGAAAGTCACGTATCGTGATAATTCTGCTTGCCTGCGTGTGCTTTTACATACTTATACACGATAACGGGACACTGCTGTGAATGTGTTGTCTTTGAGAAACGCGTTTGCACGAATTCCCGGATCGCGCCACTTCCGTCCACGATGCTACTACCTACGATGCTCGTGAATCACTTACACACCAGCTTTCCACGAGGCAGAGATTAAATTCGCGATGCGTTCCACGCTCTCGATTATACTTGGCGTTGTAACTCGTCGACCGCGATGCGACAGCTTGATAGAACCGTGGTCACGAATATATCTTGTTGTTTCACTGTTTCCAGAAATCAGAGCACGTGTAACGGAAGATAAAATTGCAAATTCTTGAAAATAATCCTCCTCGAGTCATTCACAAACAATTGAAAAGCAGTAGCTTATTTAAAAACGCTTTGGTACTTGATGAGATTGGAATGAAAGTTTGGAGAGAAAGTTTAGAGGATATATGTGAAACAAAAGATATATACAAAATGTATCTAAAAATCTATTGTTAAAATTTTCCATTTAGACGTCAGTTCAAATTGGTATTGGAATTAGAACGAAATACTAATAAGAATTATGTATCGTTTAGAAGAAGAATATTGTTTGATTTTCAATAATTTTTTGTTTTCAAAAATGAGAACCATCGTTTCCAAATTACTCGCATACGACGGAAAAGAAATGGATTCTTTGCTCAAAAGATGCATTTAACGATCAACAGTGTCGGTAAACAAAGAAAGAAAAAAAATTGACTCCTTTCAAAATTTGTGTATAACGAATATAATTTCTCAGATGATCGTATATTAAATTTAAACTGAAAATAAATGATTATCACGAAGTCATTACTTTTCTAAGAAAAGTCTCGAAGTCTCTGATTGTGGGAGACACTGATTTTTCATATTTTTATACGATGATGTAAAAATAAAGACGCATGAAGAAGCCATAGAATTATCATACAATACTACAGAATATTCAGTTAATTAAATCGCCGAGAATATCGATTATATCGATACACGGTCATACGTGTCGTGGCTCGAAGAAAGTCCCTTGGTTCTAAGTTCAGCTTCGAACGACCCACGTTTCTCAAAGTTACTTTAGTCACTTTCAGGGTTTGTACAATTTCGAGGTCGTCTATAGAAAGACTTAACGATCGTATCAATTTACGAAAATAATATTTCTACGATAATAATAATATCACATTAAGTGACAAATCACAGTAGTCGAAGCTCACCTGAACTTGTGTGAAAATAGCTCGAAGATATCACGAAATTGTAAATCATAATTCAGTGACAAGAATCTATGACCTCTTCATCATTATTATAGTAGCAAAATATATAGTGATAGCCTTTTTATTTCTTACCCATTTTCCCGGGAATCACGTCAAATTGGGCTGGTGTATCGCTGACAAATATTGGACGATTGCATAATTCCTAAAAAAGAAGGAAAAACATAATAAGTTATCCATTTTTAAAAATGATATGTATATTTATGCACAGTGACTCATGAAAATATTCGAACATTTATCATAGAACTTTTGTGTAAATATATGTATATTTGTATCTGTTGTATAAAACATTCTGACATTTTATTGATAGTATGAAAGACAATTATTATGATTATATTGGTAAAATTTGAAATCAATTTAGAAATGTATATACAAGATATTTATTGTAAGCATTAAAAAAAACTATACTTAAGAAAAAATTAGTATGGTAAAGTATACGTAGTCATCTTAAGCATATAACAAATATTGAAGATATAATGATTGTGATTGTTAAAAAACTTTTGTCATTTCTGTATCAAACTTGTATCAAATATTTTTCAATTTCTATGGATATATTTAGATTTATTTCAAAAATTTGACTAATATAATCATGATAGTTAGTGCTTTCTATTTTCTATCAAGCTTCTCTTCCTTCTAATCTCCTTTCTCAAAAATTGATATTTACGTAAAAATCCGCAGTCTATTAATTGTCTAATTCGTATTCAAGTTGTAGAGTATGTAAATAATTATTAACTGCAGAAAGAAACTTTTAAAGAACGAGTTCTCGAAGCTATAAATGCAAAGTCACGTATGATATTGCGTCATAAAAAGGGGATCTAAATAATTTCATTCTAATTTATATGATAGTCATCGACAATCTTTCTTTTCAACGCACAACGTTTAGACTGTCGTTCCTCTTCACTACTCATGTCACGCTCACCTTCGATCCTTTCCGGTCCCAACAAAGTGTGACACGTAAATGCACGGTCTCACGTAATACCTATTGCGTGAACGCAATTGTTGACTATGTTGTAGAAATTGTTGACTGTATTGCACCGATGTCAGTAGCTTTTATCATGATCACTATACGCAACAACGAGAACTGTAATGTCTCGTTTCAAAGGCTAAATAGGCTTCAATTACGCGTTGGTAATCTTGTGCCTTACTCTTTCCTTGTTTCTCGGATGATTATTCAAGTTGCATAATTGATTCGCTGGATCATTGATTTCGCGAAAATTCTTCTATTCAGATCGAACGAATATTTAGTTTAAAAATCATCTACTTCTTGATGAATCTTTGAAAAGTTGCCTTTCAATAGAACTCTAAGTAAATTTCAGGCAATGCTCCATTAAATGAACTCTTGTTGGTTAATATTCACTTAATTGAATCCTATTGAATCCTAATGAACGATAAATCGTTAATAGAGGGAGAGTCGACTTTTATTATATGAACTCCAATTATACATATAATGTATTTGTCTACTGACAAATTCATACAAACAGAGTCCCACTATGCTCCGTTTTATCCGGAGTATAAACGACTTTTGGTAATTTGGCGGTGTAATTAAGAAAATTGCGTTACAGATATTAATAGAGTAATTTTTATATGGCGACGTTTCGCTCGGTAAGAAACCGTTAGTACGTCATGTACGGTGGAGATATTACTGTGCGATTATGAGCACGGAGACGGTAAAGCATATACTATGTGTCAAGGTTGCATACTGTCGCCGTTACGGTTCCTAGATTTCAGATTCTCTGTTTTTCCGTTTTGTAGGAACTGAAGTAAATCAATGTCACTGAGTGCAGACCGCATCAGAGATGATGTAAAAATTCTTATACAATGATTTCCATATGTTCTCCGGAGTTTGTAGCAATTTAAATTAGGATCGGAACACATGCATGCAAGTTCCTTGGAGTTGTGGAATTTTAAGGAAGGGATTACGAGGTTGAATTAATTGTGATTCACGAAATTTCGAAACAGGTGGAAGTAATTTAGGTAGAGTCAGTCTATGGAATAAATTAGAAGGTAAAGCTGAAGCCGTGAATTTGGACAAAGTTAGTCTAAGCAGATTATTGAATTACAAATAATATCATCATAAATATCAAAACCTAAACATCCTGAGCTCGTAATATCTCGAAAATGATATAATAGAGAAAGAATTTTTTGAACTGAGGTACAGCTAAGCTTTGTATGACTCTGGACTTGTAAGATCTTTGGATTTTAGAAGACGAATGAGATCTTCACTGTTTCGAATAAAATAATATTAATTTATTATGAAATGTTAATTACCTTTGGTCTCTTCCATTGAAACTGAAACGGAGGCGTTTGATGATAGAAGACCGAAGTCTGCGTCGCTGGAAATTCTGGGTCTTCCCATAGTTCACCTCGTTTCAAGCACGAACGCTTGATTCGTTCGTACTCGCTCATTACGTCCTGCAACAATAGAATTCCATTCGTTAGCTACGGCAATTATTCTTATTTTCAGTATGTATCTCTACACGCAATTACTTTCTGCTCGTTCAATCATGTAAAATTATTACATAAGACGCATCCACGTCATGAATTTATCACGATCAACATTTCTACAATGAGAGTTCCGCGAATCTGGTTTAGTATATTATGCTCTTAATTAATATTTATGGCAATGGTACGCGTTAAAGATGAGAAAGTAACAGTACAGGTCGTTTGTTTAACGCTCTCTTAAATTGCTCTTGCACAATTGTCACGATAGAATCCCTCCACAGATTTCTATTTGTAACGTTGCGTACAATACTTTTAGATATTAATATTCTGTCATCGGCATCATTAACATTCAGATTTATTACGTAATGTATAGCGAGCATCGTGAACACCAGGCGCATTAAAAACACTTATTACGACCTCGATAGGATATGATAACGCGTTTCAAGACCTCATCGAAGACTCATTGTATCGAGGTCAACACTTTCTCTCCTGGTTGGAAGTCTTCGTTACTCAGACAACGTTTTCCTTATAACTGCAAGTAAATTCATTTCAATCCGGCGTAGAAAATATTTTTAGGTAATTAATTATCATTAAGTGTAAACTTCTGATTTATGATTAGATTCTTCATAATCGGCGAAAGATTTTATCTCAATGTAATAAAATTTTTTCTCCCCATGAAAGTTTTTTGTAATAAAAAATTAATCAACTATATGATCTTTTAAATGTACGTGTATTTATCTATGCGTATCTATATACAGTGACATACAAAAAGTACTTACACATATTCTTATTTTCCAATGAAGCATTTCATTAAATTCTACATTTCATTTTGACGTTTTTATAATGTCAAGTTCTTGTAGTTATATAAAAGTATTTAAATGATACGAAATTTAATATACATACGAAATTAAACACTCAAGCAGTACAAGGATATAAATATTACAATAAATGTAATTATATGCAAATACCTCTTGTCACTGTACATCTATAAATATCTTTGTCAATTACGTGTATCCTTCAAACTGAAAATTATAAGCTGCATTAGTGGAAAATAATCTAAATAAATGACGAATTTTTCCGTTCCATTTTAAGAGAGACATAATAAGCCTTACTTAATAAGATTAAAGCTTATATCCTCTTTATATCTGCTGTTTTGTCAAATATAATGGCACAATGCAATAATTACACTTGAATATTGACTTGCTTTCTGCAAAAATTATATCATAAATATTTTATAAGAGCAACATAACCGTTGGACAGCACTTTCCTTCCTTTCTAATGATACACGAGGTTTCTTTCGCCCAGATCGTAACTCAGACGTGCTTCGCCACGATCTCTCGAGGCAAAAGTATAAGAAGCACTTTCGAATCCTAACGAATCGACGATTTCCCCTCGGCGAATCATCCGCCTGTTATTACTCAAAATCATCGTCACGGAAGAGATACCCACGAGAACTAGCCTATTGGCGATTTGCAGACGCGAAAGAAGGATACTCGATACGGTTGAACGAGAAATGACACCTTTCGATTATATTTATTTCGCAACGACACGACTGATAATATATCATGTCACCTGCGTGAAAACGCGAAGTGATAACGCGAGAAGAAAGGTGTGCTCGCACACGCGTATTTATTCGTGAAAGCGTCACGATTGCGAAACAGATACATAATTACAGAAGGTTGGACCCGCCACGTTCTGGCCATTGTTCCAGCCAGTCAGCTAATTCGTTCGCGAAACAATCCACGATGCACCAATTAAGATCCTAACGAGTCACTATACCGGCTAATTAGAATGCTTCTGAGATTCTTCCATGGTTGATTCCAACGATTCCAATTTCAACGGTTCACAGTTTTCTGTTATGTTACGTCGTTACCTTGGCATACTGGGTTAGGGCGTGCCTTTTGCTTTGGTTACGAAAATTTGCAAAATGTACGACTACCTCTGTCTCTTTAATTTTTCTTTTCTTTTTTCAATAGAGCGGAATCACGTGGATTGCTGTAATGTTATTTATGATTTTTATTTTTATAATAGATATTCGGATTGTACAATGGCCATATCTATATTATTCATAGATGATGATGTGGATTCATAGATAAATGATACGGATGTTTATAGCAATTCATGTTTTTTTATAAACATTAACTGACGAAATGGAATCTAAACAGAAATTTGTTTTATAGACATTATGTATTAAATAGGATTGTAGAGCTAGAGGATTGTAGAACAAAAAATTTCACTTTTGTTCTTTGACAGGTTCATGAATATGATTAACTCTTTAATTTTTGCAGGGATGAATTTTTAATTTTAAGTTATAACAAAGAAGTTTAATTTCATTTTATTTTTTACTTGCGTTGTGAGAATTGGGATTTAATTTCTGGTTAAGAAATTTAGTAAAGGTTGTACATTTATTTTTTTTTGTAACGGTTTCGCGAATGGAAGTAGCGTAAATTAATTGTTTATATATGTGGCAGAAGGCGTGAAGAGATATATAAGATAATTACTTTAAATATTAGAAATTCAAATAGGATGACACATCACAATCGAAAAATGTATGTTCAAAGACGAATATATTCTCAGTTTTTCATATATTTCTTACTCAATATTAGAATTTTAGACTTCTGGAAATTTTAATAAACATTTGGAAGGATAAAAGTGGAACTGACCTAATACAGAATTTTTACATTTCTCCACTATTCGTTTTTTTACAACACGTGACAGCTATTAAATTCTACCAATAAAACAAGAATAAATGACAATACGTTTATTAAATTTTTAAGATTGTCGCTGATAAATATTAATTCCGCGAGCTGACTTAAAAATAGTTGTATTTCCGTAAATCGGTAAATCGAGGAGGATCTTGAACGACTGAGCACTTAGAACCGCGTTGTTTTCTTGTGGAAGTCAATGAGATCTACCGTTTCTCATGAAACGGAGTCGCACGATATATTCCGCCTGGCTCCGTTTTCGCGCGAAATACTTTCACTTTGCCCTCCACTTGAAAAAAAAAAAAAAAAAAAAAAAGAAAAAAAGAATATATAGAACGTTCGAATATATTCTCAGGCAAATCTGACGTCGTTGAACCAAGTAACGAGATAGTAAAAGAAACTGGTTACTTGCGACATCGGTCGCAGTGAGACAAGTGGCCTTGACCGATTCGCGTCCAACAAAGGACCAATCAGATGTAAAAATGATGAAACGAGGAAAATCAATGTTCCATAAAATATTTTATTAATTATAGAAGAAATACTGATTTTTCATTGATATTTTAATTTTATTATATAGTATATGATCAATATTTTGTTGAGTTTATTTATCACTAGGATATGATATAGATAATAGTAAATTATGAGATAGATAAATCTATTCTGCTATCCTTACTTTAAAAAATTTAATCTAGCACTTTATCATTTTTCAAGATAAATTGAAATATTTTTAATTCTATGCTCTTTTCCTTGCCTTTTAAGTAAAATTGTATTACGCAAGCTGTTACAAAAAATCTTAAATCAAACAGAAAAAAAAATGACGTAAAGAGGATGATGTCATGCCAAAAAAAATTGTAGATAGAACATTTCAACCAAGTAGAGTGCTATACCGCAACCCCGATCCGAACGGTTCAAGACTCCGCAGAAATTATCCAATCGAACAAACGAAAATGTTGGCAAGAAACATTCGGTCGGGCTTCATTTCGCAAGAAATCACATATACGTTATTTACTTTTACAGAATTACCTGTTTTACTTGGTATCTTTTTTTTTTCTTTTTATATCAGCAACAAGGGCAAGGAGCATCGAAGCCGCGGCGCAATCATCCGACGAAGGGAAGCATGAAACACACTCGCGGCTTGGTATTC